ATGTTATGTCATATGTTGATTCATTTTGCATGTTTACTTCCCGCGCCAGGCACGACAGGGCTGTTTGCAAGCAGCCCAAAGCACGGCACAATGTGCTTTGGTCTCCTGGTTGCACAACTCAGCCGTCCGCATCGTTTGGCATAGTTTGATGCCATGTGCCTGGAAAACATTGATGTATCCACTATTGAGATAGGGGATTAACCTGTTTTTGATGGGTTACCCTCTGATAATTTAACATAACTATGGAAAATCACCATTTATAGTGAGTTTTCCCATGAAAAATGATGATTTTCCATAGTTATGTTGAATTACCAGAGGGTACCTGTTTTTGATGGGTTATATAGGCAATTCTGCTACCAATGATGGGTTAAGATAATATCGTAATCTTTCTACACTATGTGAGTTGGGGTATGAATCAGTGAAAGCTACAGCTCTAGGCTGGGAACTTGGTAGCTGTATAGATCAGCATCTTTGCCACCAACTGCTCGTGACTCTTTGTTCCACTGGCTCATGTAAAGCCACGGACCCACACGGTTTGGTGGCACATCATTCAGCGAGTTCTGTTTGAGAGCTTAATCCCTTGGAACATGACAATCCTTCCCCCCTGCCAATAAATTTCCCTGGACAATTAACCGTAGTTTCAGACTGGATGTGTGTGTGTTCATGTCAGTTCATTTGTGGGTCCAACATTTCAGGATTTTGCAAAAGAGATTACCCTGCAGCAATCAAACATGGCTTGCTAGATAATCCACCATTTAGGTCAGCAATACTTTCCTAGCGAACTAAAAACCTCCATTTAGATAGTTCGGGGATGTTCCATATTTGTCCATTATTTTCCTGTACCCTCTGGTTATTTAACAGTTCGCCATGGTATAGATGGCCCATTTATAGATGATTTTCCCATTAAACCGCCCATTTATTTTGGGGATTTTCCATGGCTATGTTAGTCATAACCAGATGGTAGTTTGATGACTTTTCCAGCTATCTCCATGGCTAGTTCGGGGATTTTCCATATTTGTCCACTATTTTCCTGTATATTCCATGAATTTCCTGTATTTTCCTAGGGGATTTCTCACAGCTTGCAACTTCGGTCGATCCCAAGGAACTTCATCCAGCCACGGGGCGTTTGTGGTGCCACGGGGAATTGGAACCATGTGGGATGTGGGACCAATCGACGATCAAAACGGGAAGCCCATGGTAGAAGAGTCATACTTGAGGAGTTGTTACCCTCTGGTAAACATACAAAAAACTATGGAAAGATCCACCATGTTCAATGGGTAAATCCACTAGAAATTGTCATTTTCAATAGCTATGTGGCTATGTTAAATTACCAGAGGGTACATGTGCTTACCATTTTCAGTGGTATACTAAACCATACTAAACCGCTAAAGACATGTGTTGTTCAGGGTAAGTGAGATTGGCCATGGAGAGGGCACTTTCAAAACCTAACCTGGTTCGTTGTCACTCTCTGAGGTTATTAGCTGTAAGGTTAAGATTGCGATGTTGAATATACCTCATCTCATATCTTTGGATAGACCAGGGGAGCCAACGACAGTGTAAACAAATGCCACTGAAGGCGGGAGTACATAGCAAGTATATATATATAATTAACGGAAAAGAACCAGCAGACATGGATTAAGCATGAAACAGCAACAAGAATGAGCACAAGACAAAAAAAGTTGTCACAAAACATCCAAGTTTCCCCCAACTAGTTGACATTGTGCTTACAAAGTACCTGGACATCAAAACAGCCAAGATCGGCCCAGCTTCGCCGCTGGCTAGCCGTCCAATGGTAACTGGTTCTTCTAAAAAGCTCTAGTGACATAGTAGGAAAAGTGATCATGGGCCCAGTAGGGACTTGCAAACCTCTGTTCTACTGAGATCAGATCATCCGTCCTCTGTTCCTGGGATCATTGTACCATTAATCAATGGTCATATGATATCTGTTGAAACCCTAGGTGCTTGGGACGTTAGTAGGCAAGCTGCTGAATGCCGCAGTCGGTAGGGAGATGGTCCAAGATGAATTGCTGAAAATCTCCCTACATGAAGGGCCCACCAGTAGTGGTTGTTGGTTTGTAACCCTATATAACTCGATCCAACTATAGATGAATCTCCACCATAGGTCCAAAAGTTCTTGTATGAGCAAATCAACAGAAACCTATGCAAGTTAGCTGGGCCTTATAGCCCATTATATTGCCGATGAATAAATTCAATGATAAACACATAGATAATGGGATTATATCACTATCCGTGAGCAGTAAATGTTAGACATTACTACCAAACACCACCAACATTACCTTATATTTATAATTAATCACCATTAATCACCATTAATCATTACCATTAATGCCCATAAAATGGATTAAATTGGTTGGTTCTCCCCGGGAGGTCTGCCCTAGTGGCTCTGCACCATTCGGGCGAGGGAGGAGTCTCTCGGAGATCCATTTTTTCGCGTTGGGACATCGGCCCAAACAGCGTGATATCTATTCAGGGTGGTGCCCTCCAGTTATATGATTTATAAGCCTCATTAACCATAGATATATCTATCGTGAACATCCGTGAACCATAGCTAAGCTAGCTATAGACCAACTTGCATACCTAGGTCCCATTGCAAGTGGACATAATTACTGGTTGGTGGTTTGGAACATAAATTTTATTTTCCCATATATTGGGAATAATCATCCCAACTGACGAACTCATATTTTTCAGAGGGGTAGGTCTACCACCAACCAGATATATATTTATATCCCATTATAGTCCCATTAAGCCATATCAAACCACCATTTTGATGTCAAAAGCTCATTTTTTGCTGCTTCAAAGCCCTATCATGATAGTTATAGGGCCTCCATATCCTATCGGGGTGAACTCATCACGCCCATGACCTGCAGGACCGTACATGGCTTATTTAAGGGCGTTTAAAACAAGTGGATCGCCAAGGGCAGATACGGAAGATTTCCCCCCCAATTTGGGGATGATATCAGTGAAGTCCAAGTGATGTAGATTTTTGGGCTTCAAATGAATGAAATCTATGGAGCATACATGAATATATATATATATGAATATATTACATGAATATATATATATATATATATACCCCCATTTGGATGGATGGTTTGTACCGGGAATCGTCCCAAGCCTGGCCCAAACATCTCTGGTTTGGGATTCGGATTCGCAAAGACTTGGTGGACGATTAGAATGGTGGGTTCTGATCATCCAACGATCACAATCCTTGGTCCTGTTCGTTGCTGGAGTTTGTTGAGCAATAAATGATTTTCCATAATATATGGGATAATCCTTCCCATTGACTTTCATATTTTTCAGAGGGGTAGGTCTACCACCAACCAGTGGAAGATTGAACAACCCGATTTGTCAATTCAGCTGTCAGCGGTACTTTATATGGGATCTCCTGAACAGCACATGCACGGGGTGGTCAGGGTTATGTTTCTGTTGAAGCCAACTTCATCAGGATCGGAGTATCATAGGGTGTTTACATATCTTGCAGGTATAGATTATTTATACATAATCTCTATATATATATATATAGAGATGTATAATCCCTTCCTCCTAATACTAAACGTCCCCCTAATACTAAAAACAGGCATCCATCTCCAATTTCCGAAAATTTCAGTTTGGCCAATTTGACTTTTAATTGATCCCCTTTAAAAAACAATTCAAAAATCAACCTACCATTTGTGGTTCTCCCCCCTAATACTAAAAACTAATTCATCCCGGGGTGTTTAGTATTAGGGGGGCTAGTCCTACTCCCCAAATCCAAGCTGCCTGGCTGGTCTAGCTGCCTGCATGTTTTGCTGACACCACGCTGTCTGGCTGCCTGAAAGCCACCCCTCATGCCTTGCTGCCTGCAAGGTCTTTCTGAGCTGGCTGGAGTCTTGAATTTTGAAGATCCCATAAACACCTATGTTAAGGGTTTCCCTTAATTTTAGGGGGTTAAAAAAAATTCAAGACTCCAGCCACTGTACTTCCTGGCTGTACTTCCTGGCTGTACTTCTTGGCTGTCTAGCTGCCTACGCATCCTTAGCTGGCTGCCTTTCTGTCTGAGCTGGCTAGAATCTTTAATTTTTTAATTGAATCCCAGAAATTTAATTGATTATGGTTATGTTGTAAAGGTTTTAGGAGTAATTAATGAATAACAATCCCCATTAAAGATTCTAGCCAGCTTTCCATGCCGCTTGCCTGGAGCTCACTGTCTGGCTGAGCTCCATGCTTTGCCAGGTTCTGTCTGAGGGCTGGCTGGAATCTTGAATTTATATTTCCCATTAAAACAACAGCAACTATTGGTAATTATTTAGAAGGTGACCCATGTAATTAAGAAATTACTTTACTAATTATTCAAGATTCCAGCCTGCCCCTCTGTCTCCTTGCTCCTCTGGCTGTCTAGCTGTCTCGGCAGCAAAGCATCAACCAGCTGAAAGGAGGACCTGCCTGTCTGGCTTTACTGATCCAGCTGCCTTTCACGACTGCCATCCAGTCCTGCCAACTCTCTGTCTGCTCTTTGTGCCTGTCTACGTCTGCCTGCATAGACAGCCAGCTGTCCTGGGAGAGTGCTGTCGAGATAAAGATGGAGGGGTTTGTGTTGGTGTATATATATATATATTTGTTTTTTTTATTTATTTATTTGTCAATGTCAAGTAATTAATTAAAATAGGAGGTGGATGTAGGAGGAGAGATGTGTATAACTAATGGGATGAAAGTAAAAATGGATTTACTGGGGGTTCTAAATTCTTTGCTGTCTGTAGGAGTGAGAATATTGCTGCCTAGCTGCTTGTCGCAGCTCCATACAACACACCTTCTTCCCCAGCAGGTGCATTTCTGTCTGTATGTCTTGCAAGGCTGCCAAAGCTGCCTGCAAGAGCTGCGTCTGCTGTGCCTTGGCTGCACAACTGGTTCCACCAAAAAAAAATGCTAAAACAGCTACCTGTTGTGCTAATCGCTGCCTGATGATTGGAGATCTGACTTTCTTTTCTGCCACTGTGACTGCCTCACTTACTTTTCTTCTCTGCCTCTTTTGTTCCTTTGCCTGCCTGCTTCTCTGCCCAGCGCAGCATCTTGGCTGGGTTGCAAGCCAAACAGCCTGTCTTGCTATACTTGCACTTGCTGCAACCAAACTGCTCGTCCCAGCCTAGCTGCAGCTTGGTCTGTGCCACCTTGCCCTTTTTTTTCGTCTTCCCTGCTTCTTCTGCCTTGCTGCTGTCTGGAGGAGGCTGCTCTGGAGGAGGCAAAGGAGGCAGCTCAGCTTCTGGCTGCTTCTCTGCTGCTTTCTTGGCCTCCAAAGCCTTTGCTGCCTTGTCTAAAGACTTCTGCTTCAGCACTGCTTCTTGCCAGGACTGAAGCTTCTGGCTCAGCTCCCCAACTGTCTGCCATGTGGACTGACTACATCCTAGGAACTCTCTGGCTTGTCTTTCCATGTACTGAAGGCACCAGAGGCCACAACTGAAACCGTCTGACTGGTGGAAACGGTTGCATGGCACTGGCAGCTCTGTCTCTGTCTGCAAACAGACTTGCAGCACTGTGCTAGCTGCTGCTTTGGCTGTTTCTGGCTGCATCTTGAGTGTGTCGAAGTACTGGACCTCTGGTTGTTCTTCTTTGCTGCTGCCTGCCTTGCTCAAAGAAAGCAGTGTCCAGTGCTGTGGAGCTGAGCTGTGGATTGGTACCAGCAGCAAAGTCTTGCTGTCTGCCAGGAAGTCTTCCATGGCTTTGCAAACTGCACCTGTCTCTGCTGCTAGCTTGCTTTGAGCTGGGGTTACCCATCGCACTGCACTGCCTGGCTTCAGTCTGCTGCTAATCTCTCTCCAGCCTGCCAAGAGCTGATCATCTGTCACCAGCTGGCCGAACTGGTAGAGATCCACTTGCTGCATCCAATCTGCCTGCAAAGACTGCCTGGCTGCATCCTTGAGCTGCTGTGGAGCCATTGTCTGCCTGGCTGTCTTTGGCAGCAAAGGGCATTCTAGATCTGCCTTGCAAATCCACTGGCTGCCCTTGCTCGGTATCTGGCAGAGGAGCTGGCTGCCCTTTGCTTTCTCCACTGTCACGACCAAGCCTTGCCAGGCTGCCTTTGCTGTCTCTCCAACAACTCTGCCTATGGCACCATTCCACTCTGACTCCTCTTCCTCTGCTTTCTCTGCTGTCTTGATTGCTGCTGTCTTCTTGCTCTGCTTTTTCTCCCTTTTCTGCAAGTGACTGTACTTGAGCTTGGCACTGGGCTTCAACTTTTTGCCTGCTGTCTTGCTGCTGACTGGTCTGACTTGCTCCAATGCCTGCCTCTGTGCTTTGGAGCCCGCTTTCTGCCTCCACTTCTCAACAAGCTCTTTCTTGGCCTTCTTTCCTTTCTTCCTTCCTCTGGCTTTATCCTTTCTCTTCTGCGAGGCTACTTGGCTGACTGCATGCATCCATGGAGTGCTTGGCCTGGCAGAAGGTGTAACTAATTAGCCATGGAGTGGTTTCTTCAAAGATTGGAACCTAGAAGATAAGGACTTTAGAAAGGGAAATGCAAGGAGGGGAAGTAGTTTTTAGTATTAAGGTCTGGTGCTTAGTATTAGGGAGAACCTGCCTGGAGCTAGCCTGGCAGCACAGAAGCAGAAGTTTTAGTAAAGACTTTAGAAAGGGAAATGGAAGGAGGTGAAGTAGTTTTTAGTATTAAGGTCTGGTGCTTAGTATTAGGGAGAAGAGCTAGCCTGGCAGCACAGAAGCAGCAGTTTTAGTAAGGACTTTAGAAAGGGAAATGGAAGGAGGTGAGTAGTTTTTAATATTAAGGTCTGGTGCTTACTATTAGGGAGAACCTGCCTGGAGCTAGCCTGGCAGCACAGAAGCAGCAGTTTTAGTAAGGACTTTAGAAAGGGAAATGGAAGGAGGTGAAGTAGTTTTTAGTATTAAGGTCTGGTGCTTAGTATTAGGGAGAACCTGCCTGGAGCTAGCCTGGCAGCACAGAAGCAGAAGTTTTAGTAAAGACTTTAGAAAGGGAAATGGAAGGAGGTGAAGTAGTTTTTAGTATTAAGGTCTGGTGCTTAGTATTAGGGAGAACCTGCCTGGAGCTAGGCTGGCAGCACAGAAGCAGCAGTTTTAGTAAAGACTTTAGAAAGGGAAATGGAAGGAGGTGAAGTAGTTTTTAGTATTAAGGTCTGGTGCTTAGTATTAGGGAGAACCTGCCTGGAGCTAGGCTGGCAGCACAGAAGCAGCAGACAGTTTTTAGTATTAAGGTCTGGTGTATTAGGGAGAACCTGCCTGGAGCTAGCCTGGCAGCACAGAAGCAGCAGTTTTAGTAAACTTTAGAAAGGGAAATGGAAGGAGGTGAAGTAGTTTTTAGTATTAAGGTCTGGTGCTTAGTATTAGGGAGAACCTGCCTGGAGCTAGCCTGGCAGCACAGAAGCAGCAGTTTTAGTAAGGACTTTAGAAAGGGAAATGGAAGGGGGTGAAGTAGTTTTTAGTATTAAGGTCTGGTGCTTAGTATTAGGGAGAACCTGCCTGGAGCTAGCCTGGCAGCACAGAAGCAGAAGTTTTAGTAAAGACTTTAGAAAGGGAAATGGAAGGAGGTGAAGTAGTTTTTAGTATTAAGGTCTGGTGCTTAGTATTAGGGAGAACCTGCCTGGAGCTAGCTGGCAGCACAGAAGCAGCAGTTTTAGTAAAGACTTTAGAAAGGGAAATGGAAGGAGGTGAAGTAGTTTTTAGTATTAAGGTCTGGTGCTTAGTATTAGGGAGAACCTGCCTGGAGCTAGCTGGCAGCACAGAAGCAGCAGTTTTAGTAAGGACTTTAGAAAGGGAAATGGAAGGAGGTGAAGTAGTTTTTAGTATTAAGGTCTGGTGCTTAGTATTAGGGAGAACCTGCCTGGAGCTAGCTTGGCAGCACAGAAGCAGCAGTTTTAGTAAGGACTTTAGAAAGGGAAATGGAAGGAGGTGAAGTAGTTTTTAGTATTAAGGTCTGGTGCTTAGTATTAGGGAGAACCTGCCTGGAGCTAGCCTGGCAGCACAGAAGCAGCAGTTTTAGTAAGGACTTTAGAAAGGGAAATGGAAGGAGGTGAAGTAGTTTTTAGTATTAAGGTCTGGTGCTTAGTATTAGGGAGAACCTGCCTGGAGCTAGGCTGGCAGCACAGAAGCAGCAGTTTTAGTAATGACTTTAGAAAGGGAAATGGAAGGGGGTGAAGTAGTTTTTAGTATTAAGGTCTGGTGCTTAGTATTAGGGAGAACCTGCCTGGAGCTAGCCTGGCAGCACAGAAGCAGAAGTTTTAGTAAAGACTTTAGAAAGGGAAATGGAAGGAGGTGAAGTAGTTTTTAGTATTAAGGTCTGGTGCTTAGTATTAGGGAGAACCTGCCTGGAGCTAGGCTGGCAGCACAGAAGCAGCAGTTTTAGTAAAGACTTTAGAAAGGGAAATGGAAGGAGGTGAAGTAGTTTTTAGTATTAAGGTCTGGTGCTTAGTATTAGGGAGAACCTGCCTGGAGCTAGGCTGGCAGCACAGAAGCAGCAGTTTTAGTAAGGACTTTAGAAAGGGAAATGGAAGGGAGTGAAGTAGTTTTTAGTATTAAGGTCTGGTGCTTACTATTAGGGAGAACCTGCCTGGAGCTAGCCTGGCAGCACAGAAGCAGCAGTTTTAGTAAAGTCTTTAGAAAGGGAAATGGAAGGAGGTGAAGTAGTTTTTTTTAGTATTAAGGTCTGGTGCTTAGTATTAGGGAGAACCTGCCTGGAGCTAGCCTGGCAGCACAGAAGCAGCAGTTTTAGTAAGGACTTTAGCTTGGGAAATGGAAGGAGGTGAAGTAGTTTTTAGTATTAAGGTCTGGTGCTTAGTATTAGGGAGAACCTGCCTGGAGCTAGCCTGGCAGCACAGAAGCAGAAGTTTTAGTAAAGACTTTAGAAAGGGAAATGGAAGGAGGTGAAGTAGTTTTTAGTATTAAGGTCGGTCTGGTGCTTAGTATTAGGGAGAACCTGCCTGGAGCTAAGATGAAATAGGTGAAGTCAGTAATTAATCAGCTGTCTCCCTGCCTCACTGTTGGATGCTGCAGCAACTCTTCCACTGCCAGCTGTTCTGCCTGGCTCATCGCAAAATCCGCTGGCATGTCAACGAAAAAGCCTGTCTGCACTCCATGCTGGCTGGAGAACAGGTAAGAGCCTTCATACTCTGGCTGTGGCTGCTGGCCCTTCTCTTCCTCTGTGAAAGGCACTGGCTTGCCTGACTTCACATACTTTGCTCTGTCTGAGAGCATGTGTGGAGCCATCTTGCTGTTGCCTTCTGGAAAGTCCTTTGCCCATGGCTGTGCACTGACTGGCTGCAGGTCGCCTGCCTCGTCTGGCCTGTAGTGGAGCCAGCCTCCACTTCTCGCTCCCCTTAAGACTGTCTCGCTGGTTTCATTGAGCTGCTGCATCCTCTGGTGCATCACTCTGGCTGCCTCGAGGATCTCTGCAAGACCTGTCTTGTAGGTTGGTGTAACACCTTCCTGTCTGGCTTTCTCTCTGAGCATGTCCCTCAGGTCATTGTGGTATCTGCTAAGGGCTGCTTTGGCTGGCTGAGCAAGCGCTATGTCTGTGAGCTGTGTGAGGCCTGTTGTGCCTGCCCCCACACAGCATCTGAGTCTCTGTGTTATGAAGGCTGCCTCGCTGCCTGCCTCAGTCCATCCTCCTACAAAGGCATCTATGAGGTCTACAGCCTGTCTGTGCTCCTTGGCTTCCAGTGCCTGCTGGAAAGCGTATATGACTGAGTCAACAACTGCACTGGGCTGACTCCAGACCAACACTTCGTCTCCTTGGAAAAGCTCTGGCCTTTCCTGTCTCAGCTGTCTCCACTGACGCATGAGCACACCTGAAACCTTCTGTCCTGCCTCTCTGCGCACTGTTTGACCCTGGTATTCATATTGCTCTGTCTCCAGCCAGTGCCCTGACTCGCTGATGTTTTCCAATCTGCAGTGGCTGCCATAGACCAGCAAAATGGAAGGCATCACTCGACCCACTGGCTTCTTGTCTGGCTGAAAGTATTCTTCTACCGCCTGCCTGGCGACAAAAGAAACTCGCCATCTAGGCGCCTGCCCTGGACTTCTGGCTGCTGTCTCAACAGGCTGCTCTGGCTCTCCAAGCTCCTCTTCTGCTGCAACCATCTGTTGCTCTGCTGCTTCTCCAGCTGCTTCCTCCTTCAACTGCTCTGCCTGCTTCTTCCTGGCTCGCTTTCTGACCCTCTGCTGCAGGGCCCGCTCCTGTCTCACTGTGCTGACCAGCATCTTGCCTGGAGGAGGCTTCAGCCAGACAGGAATCTGGTCACTGAAAGTCAGCACTGTTTGCTTCCTGTTGACAAACCAAGCCTCTCTGTCTCTCACTGGAAGGTCTTCCTGCACAACTGGCTGAGCTGCCTTGTAAAGCTGACTGTCGTAGTGCCTCCAAGCTGCCTCCATTCTCTTTCTCAACTCCTCCTTGCTGATGTTTTGAGTCTGCTGGCAGCTTCTCTCTCGCAGGCCTGCTCTGGCTGCTAGCTTCGTGGCCTCTTTATCCCGCTGCTTCTTCTTGGTCTGCAGTGTCTTCAGCTTCTGTCTCCATGCCTGGAGCTCCTGGAGCTTCTCTGCTGACAACTGCTCCTCTCCCTCTCTGTGCTGTATGGACTGCTGCAGCCTGTACTCATAGTCCCTGACTAGGTCTGTGAGACTCAGCAGATGTTGCTGGCTCTCTTCATACTGAGCCCACAAGGCTGTGGCCATCCAAATCACTCTGCATCTGTCTGGGCGACCTAGCTGCTTGCCTGCTCCAGCCACTCGACTGCCTTGGGCCTTGCTGGTCCGCTTTTCCATGCTTAAGTGGCTGCCTCTTCTTCTCAAACCTTGCTTGCCTAGCTGTCTCTGGCTGACAAACTCTGTCATCTGAGCCATTGTGTCTGTCTTCTCCAAGTTTCTGACTGCTGTCGTGCTCAAGCCGTATTTCGATCCTATGATCTGTCTGGCTTTGGTCTTGCTCAAGCCTGGCTGCTGGCAAAGCTCCACTAGTTCTGCGTGGAGCTGCAACTTGGTTTGTGCTGTTGGCTCAGCTCGATGCTTTCTGACTCCAACTGCTGGCTTTCCATGCTTCCTCCCTGAACCTTTGGGCCTGCCTCCCTTCCTCTTCGATGGTGGCAGAATTACTGCTGCACTGTCCTCAGCTGACTCTAAACTGACTAGAGCTTGCTGCTGTGCTGGACTGAGAGGCTGCACTTCTTGCCTGGCTATCTTCTCACTAGAAGAACCAAACATGTAATCCAAACGATAGAACTTGGTGACTGAGCTACCTGGACTTGAGGACTGTCTCTTCTGCCCTCTCTCTGGGGTAGCAGCTGCCTGCCTCAATTCGTTTGACAAGCTTCTCCTGACTGACACACTCTCTGCCTGTCCTTCCTCCTCCTGGCCATCCTGGCTCTGCACCTTCCCATCGCTCTTCATCACACTGGCTGCCAGTGCTCTACTTTCTGACTGACTCGAGCAGAAGGACTGGAAATGAAACAAATCTGGCAGAAAACAAACAAGCAAACACACACACACATAATTATATATATATGTAATAAAATATATAAGTATATATATATATACCCACATATTTACTATTCTATCTAACTCATTATCTGTCTAATTACCTATCTGTCTACCTTTCTATCCATCCAAGTTTCTGCACAACTGATTCCAATTCAACTGCCCTGTGGCTTGCCAGCTGGTGAAGTAATTATATAATTAATTAGTTTTTAATATTAAGGTCTGGTGCTTAGTATTAGGGAGAACCTGCCTGGAGCTAGCTTGGCAGCAGAGAAGCAGCAGTTTTGGTAAGGACTTTAGAAAGGGAAATGGAAGGAGGTGAAGTAGTTTTTAGTATTAAGGTCTGGTGCTTAGTATTAGGGAGAACCTGCCTGGAGCTAGCCTGGCAGCACAGAAGCAGCAGTCTTAATTAGTAAGGACTTTAGAAAGGGAAATGCAAGGAGGTGAAGTAGTTTTTAGTATTAAGGTCTGGTGCTTAGTATTAGGGAGAACCTGCCTGGAGCTAGGCTGGCAGCACAGAAGCAGAAGTTTTAGTAAAGACTTTAGAAAGGGAAATGGAAGGAGGTGAAGTAGTTTTTAGTATTAAGGTCTGGTGCTTAGTATTAGGGAGAACCTGCCTGGAGCTAGCTGGCAGCACAGAAGCAGCAGTTTTAGTAAGGACTTTAGAAAGGGAAATGGAAGGAGGTGAAGTAGTTTTTAGTATTAAGGTCTGGTGCTTAGTATTAGGGAGAACCTGCCTGGAGCTAGCCTGGCAGCACAGAAGCAGCAGTTTTAGTAAGGACTTTAGAAAGGGAAATGGAAGGAGGTGAAGTAGTTTTTAGTATTAAGGTCTGGTGCTTACTATTAGGGAGAACCTGCCTGGAGCTAGCCTGGCAGCACAGAAGCAGCAGTTTTAGTAAAGTCTTTAGAAAGGGAAATGGAAGGAGGTGAAGTAGTTTTTAGTATTAAGGTCTGGTGCTTAGTATTAGGGAGAACCTGCCTGGAGCTAGCCTGGCAGCACAGAAGCAGCAGTTTTAGTAAGGACTTTAGAAAGGGAAATGGAAGGAGGTGAAGTAGTTTTTAGTATTAAGGTCTGGTGCTTAGTATTAGGGAGAACCTGCCTGGAGCTAGCCTGGCAGCACAGAAGCAGAAGTTTTAGTAAAGACTTTAGAAAGGGAAATGGAAGGAGGTGAAGTAGTTTTTAGTATTAAGGTCTGGTGCTTAGTATTAGGGAGAACCTGCCTGGAGCTAAGATGAAATAGGTGAAGTCAGTAATTAATCAGCTGTCTCCCTGCCTCACTGTTCGATGCTGCAGCAACTCTTCCACTGCCAGCTGTTCTGCCTGGCTCATCGCAAAATCCGCTGGCATGTCAACGAAAAAGCCTGTCTGCACTCCATGCTGGCTGGAGAACAGGTAAGAGCCTTCATACTCTGGCTGTGGCTGCTGGCCCTTCTCTTCCTCTGTGAAAGGCACTGGCTTGCCTGACTTCACATACTTTGCTCTGTCTGAGAGCATGTGTGGAGCCATCTTGCTGTTGCCTTCTGGAAAGTCCTTTGCCCATGGCTGTGCACTGACTGGCTGCAGGTCGCCTGCCTCGTCTGGCCTGTAGTGGAGCCAGCCTCCACTTCTCGCTCCCCTTAAGACTGTCTCGCTGGTTTCATTGAGCTGCTGCATCCTCTGGTGCATCACTCTGGCTGCCTCGAGGATCTCTGCAAGACCTGTCTTGTAGGTTGGTGTAACACCTTCCTGTCTGGCTTTCTCTCTGAGCATGTCCCTCAGGTCATTGTGGTATCTGCTAAGGGCTGCTTTGGCTGGCTGAGCAAGCGCTATGTCTGTGAGCTGTGTGAGGCCTGTTGTGCCTGCCCCCACACAGCATCTGAGTCTCTGTGTTATGAAGGCTGCCTCGCTGCCTGCCTCAGTCCATCCTCCTACAAAGGCATCTATGAGGTCTACAGCCTGTCTGTGCTCCTTGGCTTCCAGTGCCTGCTGGAAAGCGTATATGACTGAGTCAACAACTGCACTGGGCTGACTCCAGACCAACACTTCGTCTCCTTGGAAAAGCTCTGGCCTTTCCTGTCTCAGCTGTCTCCACTGACGCATGAGCACACCTGAAACCTTCTGTCCTGCCTCTCTGCGCACTGTTTGACCCTGGTATTCATATTGCTCTGTCTCCAGCCAGTGCCCTGACTCGCTGATGTTTTCCAATCTGCAGTGGCTGCCATAGACCAGCAAAATGGAAGGCATCACTCGACCCACTGGCTTCTTGTCTGGCTGAAAGTATTCTTCTACCGCCTGCCTGGCGACAAAAGAAACTCGCCATCTAGGCGCCTGCCCTGGACTTCTGGCTGCTGTCTCAACAGGCTGCTCTGGCTCTCCAAGCTCCTCTTCTGCTGCAACCATCTGTTGCTCTGCTGCTTCTCCAGCTGCTTCCTCCTTCAACTGCTCTGCCTGCTTCTTCCTGGCTCGCTTTCTGACCCTCTGCTGCAGGGCCCGCTCCTGTCTCACTGTGCTGACCAGCATCTTGCCTGGAGGAGGCTTCAGCCAGACAGGAATCTGGTCACTGAAAGTCAGCACTGTTTGCTTCCTGTTGACAAACCAAGCCTCTCTGTCTCTCACTGGAAGGTCTTCCTGCACAACTGGCTGAGCTGCCTTGTAAAGCTGACTGTCGTAGTGCCTCCAAGCTGCCTCCATTCTCTTTCTCAACTCCTCCTTGCTGATGTTTTGAGTCTGCTGGCAGCTTCTCTCTCGCAGGCCTGCTCTGGCTGCTAGCTTCGTGGCCTCTTTATCCCGCTGCTTCTTCTTGGTCTGCAGTGTCTTCAGCTTCTGTCTCCATGCCTGGAGCTCCTGGAGCTTCTCTGCTGACAACTGCTCCTCTCCCTCTCTGTGCTGTATGGACTGCTGCAGCCTGTACTCATAGTCCCTGACTAGGTCTGTGAGACTCAGCAGATGTTGCTGGCTCTCTTCATACTGAGCCCACAAGGCTGTGGCCATCCAAATCACTCTGCATCTGTCTGGGCGACCTAGCTGCTTGCCTGCTCCAGCCACTCGACTGCCTTGGGCCTTGCTGGTCCGCTTTTCCATGCTTAAGTGGCTGCCTCTTCTTCTCAAACCTTGCTTGCCTAGCTGTCTCTGGCTGACAAACTCTGTCATCTGAGCCATTGTGTCTGTCTTCTCCAAGTTTCTGACTGCTGTCGTGCTCAAGCCGTATTTCGATCCTATGATCTGTCTGGCTTTGGTCTTGCTCAAGCCTGGCTGCTGGCAAAGCTCCACTAGTTCTGCGTGGAGCTGCAACTTGGTTTGTGCTGTTGGCTCAGCTCGATGCTTTCTGACTCCAACTGCTGGCTTTCCATGCTTCCTCCCTGAACCTTTGGGCTTGCCTCCCTTCCTCTTCGATGGTGGCAGAACTACTGCTGCACTGTCCTCAGCTGACTCTAAACTGACTAGAGCTTGCTGCTGTGCTGGACTGAGAGGCTGCACTTCTTGCCTGGCTATCTTCTCACTAGAAGAACCAAACATGTAATCCAAACGATAGAACTTGGTGACTGAGCTACCTGGACTTGAGGACTGTCTCTTCTGCCCTCTCTCTGGGGTAGCAGCTGCCTGCCTCAATTCGTTTGACAAGCTTCTCCTGACTGACACACTCTCTGCCTGTCCTTCCTCCTCCTGGCCATCCTGGCTCTGCACCTTCCCATCGCTCTTCATCACACTGGCTGCCAGTGCTCTACTTTCTGACTGACTCGAGCAGAAGGACTGGAAATGAAACAAATCTGGCAGAAAACGAACAAGCAAACACACACACACATAATTATATATATATATGTGTGTGTGTGTAATAAAATATATAAGTATATATATATATATATACCCACATATTTACTATTCTATCTAACTCATTATCTGTCTAATTACCTATCTGTCTACCTTTCTATCCATCCAAGTTTCTGCACAGCTGATTCCAATTCAACTGCCCTGTGGCTTGCCAGCTGGTGAAGTAATTATATAATTAATTAGTTTTTAATATTAAGGTCTGGTGCTTAGTATTAGGGAGAACCTGCCTGGAGCTAGCTTGGCAGCAGAGAAGCAGCAGTTTTGGTAAGGACTTTAGAAAGGGAAATGGAAGGAGGTGAAAGGTCTGGTGCTTAGTATTAGGGAGAACCTGCCTGGAGCTAGCCTGGCAGCACAGAAGCAGCAGTTTTAGTAAGGACTTTAGAAAGGGAAATGGAAGGAGATGAAGTAGTTTTTAGTATTAAGGTCTGGTGCTTAGTATTAGGGAGAACCTGCCTGGAGCTAGCCTGGCAGCACAGAAGCAGAAGTTTTAGTAAAGACTTTAGAAAGGGAAATGCAAGGAGGTGAAGTAGTTTTTAGTATTAAGGTCTGGTGCTTAGTATTAGGGAGAACCTGCCTGGAGCTAGGCTGGCAGCACAGAAGCAGCAGTTTTAGTAAGGACTTTAGAAAGGGAAATGGAAGGAGGTGAAGTAGTTTTAGTATTAAGGTCTGGTGCTTAGTATTAGGGAGAACCTGCCTGGAGCTAGCCTGGCAGCACAGAAGCAGAAGTTTTAGTAAAGTCTTTAGAAAGGGAAATGGAAGGAGGTGAAGTAGTTTTTAGTATTAAGGTCTGGTGCTTAGTATTAGGGAGAACCTGCCTGGAGCTCTAGCCTGCAGCACAGAGCAGAAGTTTTAGTAAAGTCCTTTAGAAAAGGGAATGGAGGAGGTGAAAGTAAATTAGTTTTTTAGTATTAAGGTCTGGTTCTTAAGTATTAGGGAGAACTGCCTGGAGCTGCCCTGGCAGCACAGAAGCAGCAGTTTTAGTAAGGACTTTAGCTGGGGCTTGTATAGGGAGAACCTGCATGGAGCTAGCCTGCAGCACAGAAGCAGCAGTTTAGTAAGGACTTTAGAAAGGGAAATGGAAGGAGGTGAAGTAGTTTTTAATATT